GCTTTTAGATGCTTGGACGAGGATGGTACTGGAAAAATCTCAGTATGATCTGTTTCTCATGTAAGGGTCTTGTTATACCAAAGTGTTTCTGCAGCTTAAGAACTTGAGGAAAGTTGCCAGAGATGTTGGGGAACACATTACAGATGAGGAACTGGGTGCAATGATTGACGAGTGTAAGTTCCGGGAAAATTTAATTTTTTTCATTTTGATTGTTATTCTACGCAGTTGACAAAGATGGTGATGGGGAAATCAGTGAAGTCGAGTTTTTTTCCATCATGAAGAAAGACGAACTATATGACTGACAGCGCACTTATATGGCAGATATCATGTTTGTTTCTGAGAATAAAGTCGGTCACTAAAGGGAAATTTAAAGTGCTGTGTTCATTGCATAACTACTTATCCTTTGATACAAAGGCTACTAACAGCAGAGCTCGTTGGTTTTGCCTTGCTGATATAGAACGTCACCAAGGTCGAATCTTGCATTTAAATTGTTTTCCTCCCTTAGAGACTCCGTTAATGCCATCTCCGCAAACCTGTATGACAATGTCACATTTACAAATTACTTTGTACTATTTCGTAACCTGAAGTTCTTTTTGGATGCAAAAGCAACGCCCACTTCATAAAGTAGCTTTGCATCTTTAATGTTCTTCAATGCTTGGTGCAGAGCGAATTCGGCCTCTTCCATTCTTGACGTGTTGATACTAACAAGCGCAAGGTAAGCCCATATCTTAAAATTCTGGGAATCCAACAAGTTGCCTTCTACCAAGGCTATTTCAGCGTTCACCATATCCCCTAACTTGTAAAATGCTGCGCCAGCGCCCAGCCACATACTGCTGCATGGAAATAATGTTGCCCCTTTTAGAAATGTCTGCCTTGCCTTTTCAAAATTCCCGAGCCTGATGTATATGTTTCCGAGTTCTATGTGAGCGTACTCATACAACTCGCCCTTCTTCCAGAAGTGAAGAGTCTGTTTATAAAGAAGTATTTCAGCTACAGTAATTGGAATATAAAATTTACCTTCATATAGGCCTTCAGAGATTCTTCAAACTGATTATCAGAATACCTCACATGAGCTAGCAAACACCATGTTTTTGCATCCTCATACTCCAAATTAAGGGCTTCCTTGAACATTTTTTCCGATTCCACCATATCACCTTTTTGATGTGCAACTATCGCGAGGGAAAGTTTGAACTCTACTGTGCACGTAAACACTTCGTCTTCAAGCATCAAAAGATCGTGCGCTTCAGCTGGCAAATTAAGATCCAGCAGGCAAAGAG